CCAACAGCATTCTTCAATGAACTAGAGCAAATCATTCTAAAATTCATATGCAACCACAAAAGACCCTGAATAGTCAAAGCAATCCTGAGAAGGAAGAATAAAGCTGGGGGGATTATGCCCCCCAACTTCAAGCTCTAAAAAACCACAGTAATCAAGACAATTTGGTACTGGCACAGGAACAGAACAATAGACCAATAGAACAGACTAAAGAGCTCAGATATAAACCCAACCATATATGGTCAATTAATAAAAGATAAAGGAGCCATGGACATACAGTGGGGAAATGACAGCCTCTTCAACAACTGGTGTTGGCAAAACTTGACAGCTACATGCAAGAGAATGAAACTGGATTATTGTTTTAACCCCATACACAAAAGTAAATTCAAAATGGATCAAAGACCTGAATGTAAGTCATGAAACCATAAAATGTTTAGAAGACAACATAGGCAAAAATATCCTGAATATAAACTGGAGCAACTTCTTCCTGAGTGTATCTCCTTGAGCAAGGGGAAAAAAGCAAAATGAACACATGGGACTACATAAAACTAAAAAGTTTCTGTATGGCAAAGGACACCATCAACAGAACAAAAAGACATCTTACAATATGGGAGAATATATTTGTAAACGACATACCTGACAAGGGGTTAACATCCAAAATATATAAAGAACTCACACACCTCAACACCCAAAAAGCGAATAGCTCAATTAAAAAATGGGTGGAGGATGTGTACAAGACACTTCTCCAAAGAAGAAATTCAGATGGCCAACAGACACAGGAAAAGATGCTCCACATCACTAATCATCAGAGAAATGCAAATTAAAACCACAATGAGATATCACCTCATACCTTAGTAAGGATGGCCAGCATCAAAAGACTAAGAACAACAAATGCTGGCGAGGATGCTGAGAAAGGAGAACCCTCCTACACTGCTGCTGGGAATGTAAGCAAGTTCAACTATTGCGGAAAGTAATATGGAGGTTCCTCAAAAAACTAAAAATAGAAATACCATTTGACCCGGGAATCCCACTCCTTTGAATTTACCCAAAGAATACAACTTCTAAGATTCAAAAAGACATATGCATCCCTGTGTTCATTGCAGCACTATCTACAATAGCCAAGATATGGAAGCAACCTAAGTGTCCATCAGTAGATGAATGGATAAAGAAGAGGCTGTACATATACAGAATGGAATATTATTCAGCCATAAGAAAGAAATCCTACCATTTGCAACAACATGGAGCTGGAGGATGTTATGCTCAGTGAAATAAGCCAGGTGGAGAAAGACAAGTACCAAATGATTTACCTCATTTGTGGAGTATAACAATGAAGCAAAACTGAAGGAACAAAACAGCATCAGATTCACAGACTCCAAGAAGGGACTAGCGGTTACTAAAGAGGAGGGGTGTGGGAGGGCAGGTGGGGAGGGAGGGAGTTGGGGACTGAGGGATATTATGTTTAGTACACATGGTGTGAGGGGTCATGGGGAAAACTGTAGCACAAGAAGGCACAGTGAATCTGTGGCATCTTACTACACTGATGGACTGTGACTGCATTGGGGTATGGGTGGGGACTTGATAATTCGGTAAATGTAGTAACCACATTGTTTTGTCATGTGAAATGTTCATAAGAGTTTGTATCAATAATACCTTAATTAAAAAGTTAATATTTGTTGCTAGATGTGTTCTAAATAAATGAAGTAAAAAATAATGTACTTAAATTTTATGAATTGGTAGTTAGTGACTCTCTGACTCAATTTTCAATAAGATGAATAACTCAAAATACCCTGATTTTCCTTCTCCCTCCTCTTGTTTCCTTCCTCTCTAGTCATGCCAAATACATAGGCTGTTTCATGACAACCATGCCATCTCATTACCTCTTGCTTTGCCCAGACTGCCACATCTCTGCTGAGTAACTCATGTTTTTAAACTGAAATGTCATTTCCTCCAGAAAGCCTTTCTTAATATCCTCCTTTGTTTCAGCAACACCTCTGTTTCCTTCATTCTATGTTTACTACTACCACAGCATTAGAGTGTTAGCTGAGGACTAAGGTCCAATCTCAACTGTATATACCCAGTACCTACTATAATGCAAAGCTTTCATTTCACTGTTTTAGCTTTATCTTAATAACTCTTAAGTATTTCATATAATCAACTGAAACTTGGAGGTCTCAGGTCCACCACTTACTAACTGCATAATGTTGGAGAAATTAAAGTTCTCTGAGTTTTGGGTTTCCTCATTTGTACAATGGGGGCAATAAAAGGGTCTCCCTCTAAGACTGATGTGAGGTTTGCTTGAAGCGACCAGTGTAATGCTGTGCCTGACAGTACACTGTAAATACTACTGTTTATCCTCACAATTACATTATTCTTATCCATGAGGAGATGGGGCCAGTTAAGTTGAGTTACTTATAGCAGGTTACTTTCTAAGTTAGTGACTGAGAAAGAGCTTGAGCCCTTGTCTTTTCAATTCTGTCTGGTTTGCTGTTCCTACAGGTGAAGAAAAGTTTTTTGCTTTTGACAAAATGACATTCATCATACTTAGGATGGAGGGAAACTAGGCCACACAAGTGATAGGAAACACTGTTTTTGTGTAAGGAAACACTATTTTCAGTAAGTTGAGGACTGTGCGCCAAATGTGCTAGATTCTTGTATTAGGAACACAGAGCCTTAAGAACTAAAGGGATAGAAAAAGTTGCAGATTTTGGTAAAAGTTCAGAAATACACTTTAGTATTGAAGTTTCTCTGCTGGAAGATGCTTTGTCCAAGCTCTTTCCCACCCTACAAGGTTGCTAATCCCATTCCTCACTCTGCCACAAAAGAAAATATGATGCCTTTCTTAGGCTATAGTTGTAACTATTAATGTAAACTGGTCCTCTCCTTTTTTCACCATCCCTTCCTTAACAATTGGGTCCAAAAGCTAGTAAGTGATGCTGTGCAAGGTAAAAGCTACCATCGTGCAGAGTTGGGTATCAACTAAAACACAGTGAAGAAAAGCATTGTATGTGAGCAGCCTACACTTTCTGTTGTCCTAATGAAGATGTGTAATCCATGCAGAAAGGCCCATGCAGTCTGTCAGAGTCCAAGTTGGGTAGGGACAGCATCCATGCGGTTATGGCAGTGGTGACTGCCCAACAAGGGCTGTCAGCCTGAGCAGGGCAAGAAGGGTATTTGTGCAGGAGAGAATCCTGGCATGAGGTGGCAAAGCCTGAATGGAGTATGGAGGGGCATCTGTTGAGGGCTCTGGCAGTGGCAATTGAGTAGTGCTTAGGTTTAGGGATGCAAATCAGATAGATGATGGAGAGTGGGAGCCAGGCTTCTCACTGTCCTAGAAAGGATTATAAATATGAAGAGAGAAAACAGGAATGAATCTTGTAGTGTTCGGTTGTAATTGGAGATAACCAGTGTGAACCCCAGTTTTCAAGACAAATTACAGATATACTTTAGTTTAGCACACATACTTAAGTTGTGTCCAGTGAGAGGACTTGGGATCAGTTATACCCCAATAGCAATGAGCATACCTAACACCTAGATCTTCGTTCCTAAATATATTCTTCATGAAAAGGAACCAGGGCCTCTTGGAGATAAGGCTGTGGCAGAGAAAGTACAGGATGGATCCTGGGACATCTTACTCCAGAAAGTCAGGAAGTGTTCCAAGAATGATGGGGACATGTCAAAAGGACATAGAAGCCAGTTTGAAAGGAGTTCCAAGGCTAAAAATATGGGACAACTTGAGCATCAAAATTAATAATTATAATCGATTGAACAAAATAGGAATCCATAAAAAATAATATACTAGAAGTTAGATGAGGATATTTGCAGGCTCAGAGTAACATCCCTGGAAAACAATGAATTACAAAAAGAAAAACTTTACAGTGAAAGCATGGCACACACCACTTCAAGTGATTGAAGCTAACATCACCAGTATGGGAACAGACCAAATTGTGCTCCACCTGATAGGATGCAGTGAGAACAGCGTCATTTCTGCAGTATTTCTGCCAAGAATATTTAGCCTGAATCTCATCGAATCAAATTGAGGAACATTCTAAAAAATAATCGGCCTGTAATCTTCAAAAGCATCAAGGTCACGAAAGTCAAGGAAAGACTGGGAAACTTCCAGACTGAGGGAAATACAAGTAACCTGAAACTAAATGAAAAGTATGATGCTGGACTAGATTCTTTTGCTAAAAAGTCATTGCCTAATGGGGTCTGAGATAAGAGGAAAGTAATATATCAGTGTTATCTTCCTGATTTTGATGGTTGTATTGTGGTTATTATGGAGAATGTCCTTGTTCGTTAGAAACAAATTCGTCATGATTTTCATTTTTGAATTTAGGATCTGTGTATTTAGGTTTCCATGGATGATGATTTTGGAGAGATACACAAATAACCTTTGGCCTGGAATCAGAAAGCATAGGCAGATGTCCTGTGCTGGTATTTTCCAGCTGTGCGAAATTGGTCAAATCAATTCACCTTCTTCAGGCTCCCATCTGCAAAACTGGAGAAATAACAACTGTCACCCAGAGCTCTGGTGATCAGATGAGGCGATACATGTAGAAACACATTATAAGCTAAGGAAGGCTCTGCACAAATCGCAAAGAATTGTAATAATCTGCTTAGCTTTACTGAAATTTAATACTAATAATTGTAGATAGTGTTGATGCTAAATGTTTGCAGATGTTTTGGAGGAGGTGTAAATGTTTTGACAATATTCATTTAGGATTTTTATTTTAATCTTAAGAGTTTGGAAGTTTTTTTATGAGAACAAATTATATCATGATATTGAGAGTTACTATAGTAATAGTTCACAACATAAGGCATTTACTGATAGCTCACAATCAAACTTAGAACATTTATGACTAAACTGTTGCATAAAGGAATACAGGAGCATTCTATGCACCTTGCAGAGGGGACTCCTTTTATACAGATAAAACTTAGGTTTAATTCTGCCACCAAAGTTTAAAAAAAAAGCATGTTTCATGTAAAAAAATAACATCAAAAAATTTATATTGCCACTATTGATAGAAATAGTGGAAGAAATTTATTCTTAGCTGCAAGTACTGTGGAAGAAGAAGCAAAGATGAGGGAAAAGAAAAATCACTTAAAATTAAATGAACCATAATCCAGGATTTGAGGCACCTCTTTGATACATCCAACACAATCAAAATATCCCAAAGTATTGTTTGTAAGTCAAGTCATATTTTAAATGCCATTGGAGAAATAACTACCAATTTTTATTTAAAGGCCCTAATTTTATCTTTTAAAATATTCAATTTTCATATATCAAGTTTTCTTAAGGTACACCTTTACTAGAGTTTAAATAAAAATAATCTTTCAGAATAGCTTTTCAAAAAAATAGCAAATGCTCTTACTTAAGGTTTTTAGGCATTTTAGCATAAAGATTGGATTACTCCTCCTCCCCAGATATTTGTTGTTTGGACTGTCAGTGTTTGTTTACAAATTGCTAAAAATAAATTATCTATTATAATTGGGATTTTCAATTATCGAATTGAAGAACTGAGACCATCTATCCTCTCTCCTAAATGATAAGGTTCTTAATTTAGCCGACATTAAAACTTTCTCCTGATTAGGTGCTCCACCAATGCAATGTTGGCCAGTGAAGAAAATCTATTTTTGAGAGCTGGTCTTTAGAAGGGAGGGAAAGGGGGAGAGAGGAAGAGAAAAAAAAGAGGGAAAAAACTGAGTTGGTGTTGGAGCACTTTGGCATGGAATTTGTGAAGTGTTGGTAAGAAAAATATCCTGCAGTATACTGTGAATCATTGAAATTCCAAATGAAATATGTTGTGAATCATTTTCAAAGCTAGACTTCCCTTAAAAAGGTGAGTTGTTTTGAAACACCTAATGTAGAAACAGTACTGAATAGATTGCAATTATGTAAAACTATAAGAGACATATTTAAGATTTCATTCTAAAATATTTATCTTTGCCATCATAAATCGATAGGGGTGTTATTTCTACTAAACCAGTTCATTCAGGTAGAGGAAATAAAACTTAAGCTTATCTTCCTTCAGATATTCCCAGACCTCAAGATGAGTGAAGAAATTGGCTTAGTCAGGTTTATCTCTGCTTCTAATGTAGTTACCTGAACTTTAATATATTGTTCTGTCATAAAAATTTAGAGAAAGTGAAGCAATGAGGGGGAAGAGGTGATACTACAGAGGGTAAGAAAAAATATTCAGAGCTTTGAAATGTTCCTTCCATGGATTTAAACACAAATTTTAATAAATGTCTTTGACTTATCTCTGATATTGGAGAAAAAATTTAGAAACCAGAATGGTTTCAGTGAATCAGAAAAGCTTCCTACAATATGGGAATGCTCCCTGGCTTGACGTTTCTTTTTTCTATATTTGGGTTTATAAATTTCACTCTCTAAAATTCTCAAGCAAGCACTTTCTAAGCCCACCTTCCTATTTTAGAGCCTTTTGTGTAACTTTCCTTGAATTTAAATGATGTGTGAGCTCCATGATGACTAAAATATACAACTTCTTCCCACTTAGCATAGACCTATTTTGCTTTTATTACATTACATATGGGGATGACAGGTTGTATCATAGTCTCTGAGGAACCTACTGCTGCTCTTCCCCACTCCTCCCTGACCAAAAAAAAAAAAGTGTGAAAAATGTCCTCTGCTGCTGTTTTTAATAAAGACAACCATTTTGAATAATTCTAATATTTTAAGAACCAGTTGTTGATTTGTGAGTAAAGGGACATGCTAAGAAAGGAACCAGGCCAGGATTATACCACTGGGTAGCCAAGCACTGTCTAAGTAAGATACATGCAAGAACAGCACAGTTAAGTCATTGTATTCCATAATTTTAAGTTTTGCTTTGACATTGAACTCCAGTCATACAACAGATGGAACATATCAGATCAATCTTTCCTAGTTATCTGAGAGACTACAGTTCTAATCCCAGGAGAATAATCTCCCTTTTAAGGGGTGCATGTGTAGTGTATGAGTTAAATGGAAATTCATACATAAGCTTAAATTTTGGGATTGGTGACACCAAATTAACAAGTTAAATACAAAGAGGATGGTGAGGGAGTAACTCATCTCATAGAATAACTTTTTTTCCTTGAGATTTCATTATTTAATTTGATCGTCATTATTGAATTTTGGAGCTATTACATTGATTTTGGGTCTGCCAGGGTCTTTGTACCCATCTCCAGAAGGGACAGCCAGAGCAACGAATTTAGGTTACAAGTCACATGCACTCCATGCAACGAATGGCATAATTTTAAATTGGCTGTAAGTTTTTTGGAAGGGAGATGAATTCTTTGGACTCATTGCATATAAATATAGGAAAGGACCTCAATCAATTGCCTCCTTACCTTTGTCTTGTTACCTATGTCTTGGATATTTCTTATTAATAAAATCAGAAAAAAACAACTTCAGTACTTTAATAACTTTACAACTCAATTCTATATTTTATATTTTGACTTTTATCTAATGCTACATTAGATACAAAAGGTCTTTGAAAGATTATCTTAAAGTCCATCTACCTACTCTTAAGTTTTCTTTTAAAAAAAATCCATAGTAGTATTGATAAATAGGGGTCAAGTAAATGCAAACTGGGCAGATCAGAGATTTTGGGTTTTTTCTTTAAGTCTAGAGAAGTTTGAAAACTTTTCAAAATCTATGTAATTCCCTTAACATCTGGCTTGGCAAAACTCTAATTCTGTTTGAAAAAGTACTTTTAAAAAAATGACATATTTGGAGAATGCATAAGTGTGTGTGGGATGGAGGGAATCCAGATCTGATTATAAAGTTGTTAAAATTTGCAAAGCTATTTACCGCTGAATGTGCTGCCACTTACATAACCTCTCTCCTTTCAGCATGCTAGAAAGCAGAGAATGGAAATAAGGTAGCAAGAAGGAATAAAGAGAAGAGAATGAAGTTGGTCGGTAAGGGACATGTTTTAATCCCCCTCCTCCTTTTCTCTACTATTTCAGGAAACTTCTTGGTAGCTAACATCTGTAAGGAAAACTTCCCATAGGGAAAAGCAAAGAATCAGAAATAGAAAGATGTAGGATGTAGGGGGAACACAGGAAGATGACAGGGACAGAGATTGTTGGGGTAAGAAAGCCAATGGAGGAAGATCTATAATTGGATAAAATCAGGCCTCTGCTATATGGATCTTCTCTAAGGCTGTTAGAATTAAATTTGATTTATACAGACAAGGCAGCAGTTGATTGAGTCCTTTTAACATTGACTAGGCTTTATTTCCTTTAAGATTTTGATAAGGAAATTTCACACTACACTGTAAAATTTGCTTCTCTCCCTATGCATCTGAGAGTCACAAAGCACTGAAGCTCAAATATGGAATGAAAGGTCATTCACTTAACTGACCTTTACTTAGACTCAATCTTGCAAATTATCAGAAGGGCTCACAATCTTGATTGCCAGGAAGGGTGAAGCAGTTGGGGCAGCTCCATTGAAGGTTAACCCAGACTTTCTAATTGCTTTTTGATTGAGGATGACCCTGGTTTAGATTTATGTATCTTATAAATAAGAATTGGATTTATCCTCTCTTCACAAAACAAAGTAACCTGAATGGTCAAATACAGTTATTAGAAGTAGAGCTTACAGCAGATAGACTAGATAGCTTAAATACTTAAGATGCATTTGTCCATATTCATCTTCAAGTAGTTGCTGGCCAAGCCCCAGTGACTGATGAAATTGGCCATATTTGCCTGTGGAACATTATCCTGAGTGTTCAGCAGACAGAGACAGGAAGATGGCAGTGAAGTGCAGCAAATGCTAAAAGCTGGCCTGTAGAGGAAGGTGTGGGCTGAAGTAGATGTCACTGAGAAGGGGAAGGTGGCAGAACATGTTGTGGTAATTATACCCTCCAATAATAACATACATACACATTTGAGTAGGTGGAATTTGTTAATGTAAGAAAAATTAGAGGAATTTCAGATAGTTTGCCATGTGCCCAAAGTTTTGGATAAACATAAGGATACACTGAAACAACAGTATACACAGACACACATGCTCACACATACACGTTATTTTTCAGTTTAGTTCCTTACATCTTCCTCTCCTGACTCCATGGCAGCACATGGGTTACAAGGTTCTAGTAGATTCCAGCTATAGAATTCTATGCTAGCAAGACAGCATCCCTGCTTTCTTCTACATGGTTTATGCATTCATGAACAGCAAAATCTTTAGAAGCAAACAGATGTCAGATACCAATGATTATAACAAGAAATAATATAGAAACTCCCACAGACTTGATTCTGAACTTAATCCAAACTGATTACGTGGTGGTTTTCATCCTCCATACACACCTCTCACACACCCAAAACAGTCCAGTGCAGCTGTGTCACAGTCTAACGTGGTAATACGGCCAGGAGATTTCCCAGAAGGAAGCGGCTGGAGGCCGGAAGTCTGGGCATCATAGTCTTTGGGGACCACATCTCTACAAAGAGGGTCCTTCCATTGTCAGTCTCAGCTGGAAACTCATTCACTTAGAGGGGAGAAGGTGGGGTATGACTTGTCAGAACTGGAGGGGTGCTGGGAAGCCACGTTCTGCTCACCAAAGCTTTTACACAGCATTCAAGCGGATGTCGCCATAGGGAATTTCTGTTGGTGTTTCTGGAGTGATATTTTTAATAATACGCTGTTGGGAAGAAAATAACAGGGTTATAAACATTCTTGTATTATAAACATTCTTGTAGTTTATCAGGACTGTATTGCAAACATATTTCAACATTAATATTAAAACAAAGTTTAAATAACATTTTATTGCATTTGCTACTAAGTTGGAATAGTCTCATTGACTTCCCTTAAGAATGGCACCCCCAATTTATTTGTTCTCAAATATGGATAAAAATGTTATATTCAGGAACTATAAGCATCTGTAACCTAATTAAGAAAATCATTGTAACACTAATGGGAGAAAATGACAAGCCTCCAATAGAGCCTGTCCTGGCCTCTAACATGCCTTTGACATGGGTAAGGGCATCCTTTTCTCTGGACAGAGGAGGCTTCATGTGGCCACACAGGACTTAAAGAGCAGAGTGAGTGCTGGACTCTGGCCCCCACTCTGCTCAGTCAGGCTCCTTGTGACCCACATACACACTAGAGGCACAGTGCATATTACCATCAGCCACTGTTCTGGCCTGGATGTTACTGACTTAATATATCCACCTATGATGGAATACTGGTTAGTTCATGCAAGGAGACAAATTATCACATAATTACACTTAAAAAGATTTGAACTTTTAAATCATCACTCCTAAAGTAATCCATGTTGTCATAATACTCATCACAGGGAGAAGGCTGAGAATGTTTACTTTAGAAACAGCTGAGGTATACATAATCTTTAAGGCAGATCTGAAATGGGCTTGGGCTTGGGCATGAAATATACAGCCTGCCTTGTAAAACTTAGCTTTAGGGTGACATGAGCAGCTCAGGGATGTAGAGAAGGAAAAATGGCAGCACTGCAGAGGCTTAGAAAAATCTTCATTAAGTTGCTTAGTAAAAGTTTTCAGGGCCAAAGTCTGTATGTATGGTAAGCAGGCAAAACTGGATCTGAAGCATCTTTTGGTTATTAATTTTAGATGAAGCTCTGCTACTTGTCCTTTTTATTTTGGATTGGAAAAGTAGGTAAGTCCCTTTCCATCTTTTTTATTTTCTGGTTCTGGGAGTTTGCTCTTCTTTAAGGAGAAGGGCATATGGAATCCAAAAAGTTCCATTCTCACAATTAATGAAATTCACAAAACTGTACATTTTATGTTCCTAATGACCTTAATAGTCAAGTACTGAAATCTCAAACTAGAAATCTATTCAAAAAGGAATTGCTACACTCCACCTGGACATGTCAGGTCATAGAGAGCAAAATTTCACAAGCCATCCTTCCCCATAGATGAATATGCAGACCGTACTGAGTAAAGGGAATTATTGGTCTTGCTAGTTGGGAACTGGACACAGATCACTCTAAGTGGATCAATATCTATCGTGCACAGAGAGAAGAGAGCAGTAATGGTGGAGGTAAGGCCCACAGTGAACAACACTGTAAAGGAGAAATGTTTGGCTTTTGTGCCCTAGTCCCCACCTACCCATTCTGCTGCCCTTCTGGCTGCTGAGATCTCAAAATGCCAGGCCCACCTTCCCTTTCCAAATTCCAGAGTACTACTGCTCCCAAAATTTGCCAGGTCCTGGACTTCTGCAAGGTTATAATCTAAGAAATGGATCACTGTTGATGTCTTCAAGAATGCTTACTTATTGGGGATCATTTTCCCAGTATCTTTGTGCAGGTCACTAGGGGCTTCTGTGACAATGACCTGATCTAGTTGATGACTCCAACCTTGCAACCTCCAGGCTTACAGGTACATGTGACATCCTCCAAATTATAGGTGAGCAAGTGGTAGTTCACTTCAGAAGCTCCAACCTTGTATATGACTAGGGACCAAAGAGTTAAGAAATTTACCTCTCTGTTTTTTTTTAACTATGTCAGAATTTCCTATGAGGCTTCCCTCCTTCATAGATAGAATTTTATAGACCATCAAGGCTGGTATTCACAAAGAATGATAGTTCCTTGGGGTGCTTGGCAAAAAAAATACAGCAAGCTTAATCCTTTTCAAAGATTAAACATGCACATGGACATATTAAGACTTTTGAGACGTCTCATAGTAAAGAAACCTATTTAACTTGTCCTAATCCAGCATTCTCCAAAACTATGTGACCACATAACCTTTTTTCCCCAGGAGTAACACTTTTTGATATTCCATGGAACTGCTATTCCTTAAAACACACTTTGAGAAATATTAATCCAGTCCAATGAGCACATGTTAAAGATGGAGGAATTTAAGGCCCAGAGAAGGTGAGTGACTTGCATAGCTTTACCTTCCAGTCCTACTTGACTGGATGGATCATGATGCTTCCTAGCAATCCACTGTTATACCCTATCTGGTGGCCTATGGGAGTGACGTTCCTGCAATTAGCCTTACCTCTCCTCCGAGTGGATCTGAGCTCTATTAATTATACACCTTTGGGTAGCCTTTTTGGTAGTTAAACAGGGAGAATTTGCAAGAAAGAAGACCAGGATTTGAGTCCGTGAGCAAAAAATATACTAATCTTTATTAACCTAACTAGAATTCTCACCCCTGACCTTGGCCTCTAGGTTTCAATCAGCAGAGCTAGTGGACTATCACAACTACCACTAAGGACAGCGTGAGGAACAAATTGCAGTGACTCTGGATCTGAGTGTGTATTTCAATCAATACAAGGGTCCCAAGTCCTTTGAAAGGAATGAGGTTGTGACAGGTCTGGTTCAAGTGAAGAAAATTAGCAACTCCCTACAGAGTTTTGTGTACCTAGAATTTGGTTTTCCTTTTTAGAAAAAGGAATGAACTCAGTTCTGAGGAAGAGCTGATGTTTAATTGCCTCATGTTCTCTTGCTTCATGTTTCTTATGAAATGTTTTAGGAAGATGAGTGTGATGGTCTCAAGTGTGAGTTTTACTTCTAAGAGCCCACAGACTAGCCCACCCCAGTTCTCAGGTCATTACAGATTATGGTCCTTCTGGCTTTCCCCAAATACCACCCTTCACCTTTGAGCTCAGTCCCTACAACGGCACCACCTACACACTTGTAAGTGGCCGCTTCTTCAGGCTCTTCGGCTATAGTAGCCTTCCTGCTATGGCAAGAAGCACAACCAAGTAACAACTTGAGCATTTTCAGTTCTGAGAGTGTGAAGTACAAAGCTGCTGGGAATCCTGGTGGCCTGAGCTACTAACCCTGGCAGCATAGGGGGGAAAATGGCAACTCATCTCTCCCTAACCTCTAGCATCAATTTCTACATTAGCAAACTATTAATACGCTGAGGACAAAAGAGAAGCTGTGCACATGAAAGTAAAAAAGAGCATTGGACCAGGATTCAGAAGACCTGGATTCTAATCCCCCCAGTACTATGTATCCTTGGCCAAGTCACTGAAATAAGGAAATTTTGAGTAGGACTGTTCCCAGCCTCAGTATCTTTGTCCACTACTAGCACCTGCCTATCCACCTTACAAGGTATTTTGATGACAAAATCTACATGAAGATGCTTAGAAAAATAAACACTCTTATACAAATTGTAAGGTTCTGTTATTAATATTTTTATAGCACACTATTCATAACTGAAATATCTGGCTATAATGGGAACTTTTTTCACTCTAGTGGCTTGAGCTAAAACTATGATATTGCTGCAAATCCTTATTTAGTAATGCTTTTTCAAAATAGGACTTGTCACATTGCTCTAATCCACCGTAACCTCCACTTAAATAAAAATTTGTGTGCATCTCCAGACATCTCAGATCTGATGTCCAGGTGCATTGGCAATCAGGAGGCAAAGTAGTTATCTGATAAGTTTAGAATCCTATGCACACCCCAAGCTGTGTGCTGTAATGCACGGAAGTAACAGCTCACTCTTTTCCCATTGTGTTTGAGGTTTATGGGAGATGCCTTAAGATGACAGTGGCAGCCACTGCAGGTCTACACCATGGTGTAGGTATATAAATATGTAAGGTTGAGACCTCCTGGTGAATTTCATGTGGTGAGTTCATCTCCTTTGAATAGAGCACAAGAGAACCCTTTTCTCCCAAAACAATTACCAGCCTGGACACACACAGGCATACACGCACAAACTAGCACGTACCTCCTTAAATGTCCCTGGAGTGATGATCAGCCGATAAGTTATGTATGTGGGGATGCAGATGAAAGACGAAGTTCCTATGCAGTAACCCAGGACGATACTCCAGGGAGGATAATTATATTGGAAAAGGCGTAGCTGGGGTGGGCTCATCAAAAAACTGCAAATGATGAACTAAAACAGAAATGCCAACATTAAGAAACCTTAACAATATCCGTGCAAATACAGTTCTGATACTGCAAATAGCAAATACTAACGCTAAGATAGTTTAGGGAAATTCCCCAAATGGGATTATCCTTGGATGAACTCGGACTTGCTTTGCTCAGGCCCATGCCCAAACGGTAACTGTCAAACAGCCAGTGCTTATCTTGATTCTCCTCCCCAGCCTCCAGCGCAGCCCCCCACACTGGGGATGTCAACGCCTCAGAACATTATTTAAGGGGAATTGCAGCACCCCATTCAGGGCAGAGGGGAAGAGACTGACATCTATGAGGGGTGGTTTGGGCCCCAGCCGGGCAGAGAGCTGCAGAATAAACCAGGTGACCTTTCCACGGCCCCTGGCTGTTGTAAAGCTTCACATTTCTTCCTGCTTTGTTTTCATTTCCTCCAGCAATTTCTTGTCTATGATTTTTTGGGTCAGTTGGAATAAGGTTCTTAAGACTTGGAGAGGACTCAGGCCGCTGGGTATGTGCGCCTTCTCGCCCTCTTCCTGAGCTCTGCTTGCTGCATTCAGCTTTTTAGCTGGGGTTTCAACAAGGATGGCTCTGCCTTGAGGCATCTCAACCAGAAATGACTGCCTGCCACAGGCGCCCATCATGAAGGGAATAAAGGCAGGAAAAACCAGCTTAACACACTTTTTTACGTGAAAATTTCAACCAAGAAAAATTGTCTGGTGTGTTCCCAGCACTCAGTTTATGACTTTTATTTCAGTTTGGTTTCCAGAGAGAGTGTAAATATCAGTTTTTGCCTAGTAACCACTGTGTGAAATTGTTATTGCTCTTGATTTAATTTAATTTTATTATTTCATAATCATAAAGAAGACAGTAATGCAAATTATTTGTGTGGTTAAACATCTATTTATATCTTTTTTTCTTTGCAGGTAATAAAATGGAAAACTGTTAAACACACATCCATCTTCTGAACAGTGTTATCCTAAGGCCAAGAGGAAGCTTTCAAAACAGGAGCCCATCCAATCGCAAGCCTTTCTCTGGACTCACTCTCCTCAACCACAGACCCAGCTACTAAAGAAGATAGTTGTGGAACAGGTGAGGGGTATGTGTGTGCGTGGTGGTGGTGGTCTGGTTGGGAGCCACCCCTGCTGTAACTTGTCTCATCCTGATGTCGGGTATGTGAGACCCCGTGCAGTCCAGGCAGGCCTCAAGCTCATGTTGTGGCCACCAAGTGTTGCCCCAGACACTCCCTCGTGTGTCCCTGCCTCTCCTTGCTCATATATAACATTTTATTTTCTGTGACTTGGCTTCAGTGAAAAAGAATTCTCTTAGTAAGTTACTCATGTCTACCTAACGCAGCCTTGATCTGTTAAGTAGACCCAGAGTGGAAGACAGAGCTGCCTCCTCTTAATTGGGCACTGGACCACTTGCCTTTAGAGGAAGTGAGTAAAGTGAACATCACAGGAATTATGAGTAATGTGCCTGAACCCAGATCTGTACATGGGTTTTGCTGGGCAAGAAACTCATTGAATGTACACCAAGAGCTCACCCAGTCTACTGGACAAGCAGAGATTCATGAAATGAAAATACTAAAAGCCCAGGGCCAGGATTGGGGTGAGGCATATGAGGCCCTCAGCTCAGGCACAACTTTTAAGGAGGTGCCACAATTTCAGTAATTGAGGAAGAGTATTTTTGTGTAACATTTTAAAGAGACAAGATCTGACAGGGCCAGATTAGGGTAAGGCAAGTGAATGGTGTATAGGGTTGGATCCTATATTTATTTAAAATGCTGACATTTTGTTTATCAGGGATATTTTGCATCCGTTTTTATTTTTAAGCAATACTGAAACAATCAAAATCATATCTATCTTGGTAGCTGAGCTTTTTGGCACCCCCTTACTCTTTACTTTCCTGGTGAGTGCCTCACCTGCCTCTCCCAAGCCTCCCAGCCCTAGGCACCATTTCCTCTCCACCTGGGGAATACTGAAGTAAATAAACAAACAAACATGACTTCTTCCCTCAAGGAACTAATCCAATGTCTTTTTTTCCTTTGAAAAACAAATGAAAGAATTTAAGTAGATTATCGAGAAGCACTGGTAATAAATTAATAATCCATTAATGTCAGGACTTCTGCTTCTAGTAATGGTGGGCTAAGGCAATTCAGACCAGCCAACCCAGTCTATGAAAACAACTAAAACTTCTGGATTTAAAAATATCTATATTTTTAATTTACCTAAAAAGCATCAGTGAGCTGATAAAGGAATAAAGAACTACCTGTCCAAAATCTAGGGGAACACCGGAGCCCAGAGCACTATCTGCTGCTTGGGGCAAAGGTTGGCTTTGGTTTGGGGAACCTCTGGAGTCCAGGGGGCTGGAAGCCCAGGAGGGATTCTGGGTAAAGACAGACATGTGCAGCATTCCAGAGGCAAGAATGAGCACATGCTCCATCTCACAAGTTAATGTCCAGCTGTATGGGTACAAAAAGCAGAAGAAATAAAGGGCTGCCCAGAGAAAACAGAACCCAGAAAGGGCTGTTTTGAAAGAGGAGAAAGCACAGCCACACCCCAGAGGCAGGGGTGTCCCCAGAGACAAGACAAATGGCCTAGATACCTCCTGTGAACTGGGGCTATATGGAAAGAACAGTTCAACAACCTTTCTGGCTCTTAAAGATGAAAAACATTCTCCAAAATAAAGGTACAGATGAATGAAAGAACTGGCAGTTATCCCTGCTGATGTGTGTGGGGTCACTTTACCCCAGGTTGCCTCAGAGCACACTTGGGGTGTTAGCAAGGCACTTGTCCACCTTCAGGCAAACATCTCCCCGAGACAGACACCAGGAGGCAGGGGCACAGGCAGCAGGATGAAGTGAGCACTGAACATGGACTGGCACACAAGCAACCCCTGGGACAGAACTGTCTTACCTGGGTCCTTTGGCAGTAAATGGATTCTACTTTTGACTCAGGTCTGTGTTGAAGACCTTTGTGTGGGGAATCTCTAAGAAAATAACAAAATTACTAGGACCCCTCCCAGGGCCTTCAAGAGCAGCTCAGAAAATCTTTCCCAGGTCTTAAACAGTTTTTATTTGTAATGTGACTTTGGGTTCTTTATTTAACATCGCTAAGCCTCAATTTCTTTAAATAGAAAATGAGGTATTAGAACTATATTACCTCATAGAATTGTTGTGAGGATTAAAGGAGCAATGGGTGTAAATTTAGCACAAAGTCCGCCTGGCACTTAACGTTGAATGCATGTTATTTGTCATTATCACTGTGCAGGGCGGCGCTGTAAGAAGTGCCTGAAGCCTGGACCACTCTTTGGTGCTATGAATCAGAAGAGTGGCATGGCAGAGATGGTGGCCCAGAGGGGACACAAGAGGGCCTTCAATGTGCACGTCATGGTTTTGGCTGCAAAAGTGTGCTCAATTTACAAAATTTCACTGAGATGTACATTTATGATTTGTACACTTTTCTGTATATAAGCTACACTTCAATTAAATTTATTTTCTATAAGTGTATGAGTGAATCTTTCTCCAGGGCCAGGAGGAGAAGGGAAATGACAACTCACCAGGAGAAAGAGAGGGCTGATGGCTACCCAGCAGATCCTCCAGAACCACCCAGGGCTGAAGCCAAGCATTTCCTTCACATCACTGCAGAACTGAGTGATACCTGAAATCACCCAGAAGAGAAAGAGATTGATTGGCTGGGAGACAACGTGGGTGTTCTATGGCTTGATTCTCAGAGAGAGTAGCAGCTCCCAAATTGCCTCACGGGAGGGGGCTCAGGGGCACCAATCTGATCTGCTGGTGGGACGGGCAACTGGTCACCAAACTGTATTTTATGGCAAGCAACATTCTTTCTACATAGAGTGGGAGGATTGGTGGACATTTGGGGAGGGACCTAAAGCCCCCTCTTGGTGTCCACACTGCCTTTCTAAGATCCTGGCATATATTTGATGTTTTTGTTAGTAGAAAAGAAAGTTGAATTTAGTCCAGGAATGGTAAATCAGCTTGACGTTGACTGAACACTGGAAACTTCCAAGAGAAAACTTTAACCACTATATTGTTTGTTCAAATGCCAGATGGAGATCACGGTTCTATAAAAACTCAGTTTCTAAAAAAGTCACTGAGAACTCTGGTGAGAAGTCAAGAAGGAGAAGGAAGGGTGCTCATGTTTGCTTCTCTGAGGGTGCCCAGCAAGCCACGGGCAGGGCTACAGCCAGGCACACTTGTCCTCTGATTGCTGAGAAGGTGGGGAGGCCTTCTTTTTGAAAAAACGGGGCTCACGTGCAACTCAAAATACAGGCCCCCTTCTTCATTATTATGTGTGATGACAAACATGTTAAAACTATTGTATTATCACAGAAACTCAGAAAACAAATACATTTTCAGAATGGAATAATCCCTTCTTAACTGTAGAGATGAAGAGAGGCATCTCTGAGCCTAGTTTTCCTCACCTGCCTGTGTCCTCCCCACCCCTGCCCGGGGGGCTCTTGAGGTCCCTGCCAATGGGCCACATCAGCTCCTGTCTCTGCTCCTGATGGTTTCGCCCTCATCCAGTTCTATCCCTGGATTGGAGAGGGTGAACTGGGGGTCCTACAAAGGCAGATAATCCAAACAGGAGCATTCTTACCTCTGCCCTAAAAGATAAGCTCCTAAACTCTGTCCCAGGTTCTGGAGGGAGGCCTTGCTGGCGGAATTTAAATCGGAGTGGGGGGGCACCCCGTGTAACAGCGGTATGCAGTGCCCTGCAAATGCCCTCACTCCGCACTAGTCCTGTGCTGTCTGCCCAGTTCCTAGAGCCACTTGGGGTCTTAAGCCTCCACGGTGGGTGAGCTACAGGGAATGCTTCAGCCTGTCTCTGCTGGCTAAACATTGAAACTCAGAAAAGAAAATGTCCTCCCAGTAGTACAGGCCATCTGTCATACAGAGCACAGAGGGAATGGGGTCCTGTTTCTGAAAAAGGAACTCAGCTGAGATTACTACACAGACCCGCCAGGAGGTGATGGCTCAGGTACTGCCCTGCCTTTCTTTGATGAAATCAGCTCTTCTCTGTTCTTTGGCTATAGGCTGGTGTAGAAAGGATCATAGCTGGCAGAAGGAGGCATCTTACCATAGAACCAATACACAGCAACCGCTTCTGTCAGGACGACGGTGAGCACCGCAGGCCCCGTGGCGTACTCCTCCAGCAGCTTCACCACGTAGGCACCCCCCTGGAAACGAGATCATGAGCCTGGTTAGGCACCCTCTGAGGGACTGCCTTCTCTTTACAATAGGGACCAAAGAGGCTTCTTAACGCAGGAAATAATTCTGGAAAATTCCCATCTTGGACCTAATAAAGCATTCCAGAGCCTGCCTACTGGACTGGCCCCTTTCATCCCATCAGATGCCTCTTTCTGCCCTTTGGAGCTCTCTCTTCTTTTTTCCTCTCTCCACCAAGCTTTAAGAGACAAGCTCAAAAGGGCCTCTGGATCTGTTTGTCCACTTTCTTCAATTTACTAGCTGTCTACTATGTTCTCTACCCTGGAGAATCCCAGTCCCTAAAGACTGGACTTGTGACGGTCCACAGTGCCAGATGCACAGAGCACGTTGCTCATGGTTTTGCCTTCTGTCCAAACTCACAGGTCCCTCAGGTCCTACTCAAGGTTCCACCATCCTGCTGAAGCTCCAGAGCCACTGGGGTCATGGCTTGAAGATGCACATCTACAAAATCTGCCTTGAGTCAGAAGGACACAAGCCTCGGATGCCTGTGGTTACTATCTGAGGCCTGTTTTTCAGTTTTACAGTAAAACTACCATTGAAGTTTGACTTCACCACCATTGCAAGTTCTCTGGAGAAGACAAAGTGACATTACAAACACGAGATGCCAACCTCCAGCTGTTCCACATATCAGGATGGCAGAGCAATTTTCCCAAGAAAGCAGCCCTAAGGACTGGAAAGAGACTGGAAAAGCAAATCTGAGTTTTTCTCCAGATATTCTGCCAAGGCTGAAGTCTAGTTGGATCTACTGTACAGTGCTAAGAGCCCCCAGACACCATGTACAGATTCTACAAAAAGATCCCACAAGAAGCAACCTTTTTCCTCTTATCTTGGGTGACAAATTTTTAACAGCAGTGACAACCCCTCTTCCTGTGGCCCCAAAGCCAGGGCACTATGGAGATGGAAGGAAGGGAACAGCCTCTCAGAGAATTCTGTTCTGTGAGGGGAGGTTGCCTCAAAGCTGAGGGTGGTGCTACTCACAAAAGTCAGGGTGGTCAGGGAGCCAAAGAAGCAGGTAACAACCACACCGAGCACAAGCCACTCTCGGCGCTTGGACCAGAAGTGTGGAAACTCATCCAGCACAGCTGTGATCACCCCCTCCAGGCCTGCAAACTGAGAGGGATGCACAAACGGTCACACTAGGGGCTTTGGGACAAATCTGTTACCTTCTAGGCCAGGGAACAGGAAGAAGGGTGAAGACTGTCGAGTGACCGGTCAGGCTGATCATGACCAGTTCCCCCTCATCTCTGGCCCTCATTAGAAATAGAGTTCCCTGTTTCCTACTCTCGTGTAGAAGCCATCCCTAAGGACATCGAGGACAGAAAAGATAGCCCGTGGACAGGACTTCCGTATGTGAGGTCCCTTGGGGAGACTTTGCTGGCACCAGAAAGGCCAACTCAAAGCTGAGACTCGTCCCACACCTGTAAGTCCAGGACTTAGCCTCTCATGGGCTAAGTCCAGGCGCTGAGCTGAATGCAGGGCAGCAGGGCACCCAGACACAGGGTGACCCACCCGACCTTTAGGTCAAGTACAGCGTACACATGCTGAGCCCCTCGCCTCTGGGGCAAAGGTTGGCTTTGGTTTGGGGAACCTCTGGAGTCCAGGGGGCTGGAAGCCCAGGAGGGATTCTGGGTAAAGACAGACATGTGCAGCATTCCAGAGGCAAGAATGAGCACATGCTCCATCTCACAAGTTAATGTCCAGCTGTATGGGTACAAAAAGCAGAAGAAATAAAGGGCTGCCCAGAGAAAACAGAACCCAGAAAGGGCTGTTTTGAAAGAGGAGAAAGCACAGCCACACCCCAGAGGCAGGGGTGTCCCCAGAGACAAGACAAATGGCCTAGATACCTCCTGTGAACTGGGGCTATATGGAAAGAACAGTTCAACAACCTTTCTGGCTCTTAAAGATGAAAAACATTCTCCAAAATAAAGGTACAGATGAATGAAAGAACTGGCAGTTATCCCTGCTGATGTGTGTGGGGTCACTTTACCCCAGGTTGCCTCAGAGCACACTTGGGGTGTTAGCAAGGCACTTGTCCACCTTCAGGCAAACATCTCCCCGAGACAGACACCAGGAGGCAGGGGCACAGGCAGCAGGATGAAGTGAGCACTGAACATGGACTGGCACACAAGCAACCCCTGGGACAGAACTGTCTTACCTGGGTCCTTTGGCAGTAAATGGATTCTACTTTTGACTCAGGTCTGTGTTGAAGACCTTTGTGTGGGGAATCTCTAAGAAAATAACAAAATTACTAGGACCCCTCCCAGGGCCTTCAAGAGCAGCTCAGAAAATCTTTCCCAGGTCTTAAACAGTTTTTATTTGTAATGTGACTTTGGGTTCTTTATTTAACATCGCTAAGCCTCAATTTCTTTAAATAGAAAATGAGGTATTAGAACTATATTACCTCATAGAATTGTTGTGAGGATTAAAGGAGCAATGGGTGTAAATTTAGCACAAAGTCCGCCTGGCACTTAACGTTGAATGCATGTTATTTGTCATTATCACTGTGCAGGGCGGCGCTGTAAGAAGTGCCTGAAGCCTGGACCACTCTTTGGTGCTATGAATCAGAAGAGTGGCATGGCAGAGATGGTGGCCCAGAGGGGACACAAGAGGGCCTTCAATGTGCACGTCATGGTTTTGGCTGCAAAAGTGTGCTCAATTTACAAAATTTCACTGAGATGTACATTTATGATTTGTACACTTTTCTGTATATAAGCTACACTTCAATTAAATTTATTTTCTGTAAGTGTATGAGTGAATCTTTCTCCAGGGCCAGGAGGAGAAGGGAAATGACAACTCACCAGGAGAAAGAGAGGGCTGATGGCTACCCAGCAGATCCTCCAGAACCACCCAGGGCTGAAGCCAAGCATTTCCTTCACATCACTGCAGAACTGAGTGATACCTGAAATCACCCAGAAGAGAAAGAGATTGATTGGCTGGGAGACAACGTGGGTGTTCTATGGCTTGATTCTCAGAGAGAGTAGCAGCTCCCAAATTGCCTCACGGGAGGGGGCTCAGGGGCACCAATCTGATCTGCTGGTGGGACGGGCAACTGGTCACCAAACTGTATTTTATGGCAAGCAACATTCTTTCTACATAGAGTGGGAGGATTGGTGGACATTTGGGGAGGGACCTAAAGCCCCCTCTTGGTGTCCACACTGCCTTTCTAAGATCCTGGCATATATTTGATGTTTTTGTTAGTAGAAAAGAAAGTTGAATTTAGTCCAGGAATGGTAAATCAGCTTGACGTTGACTGAACACTGGAAACTTCCAAGAGAAAACTTTAACCACTATATTGTTTGTTCAAATGCCAGATGGAGATCACGGTTCTATAAAAACTCAGTTTCTAAAAAAGTCACTGAGAACTCTGGTGAGAAGTCAAGAAGGAGAAGGAAGGGTGCTCATGTTTGCTTCTCTGAGGGTGCCCAGCAAGCCACGGGCAGGGCTACAGCCAGGCACACTTGTCCTCTGATTGCTGAGAAGGTGGGGAGGCCTTCTTTTTGAAAAAACGGGGCTCACGTGCAACTCAAAATACAGGCCCCCTTCTTCATTATTATGTGTGATGACAAACATGTTAAAACTATTGTATTATCACAGAAACTCAGAAAACAAATACATTTTCAGAATGGAATAATCCCTTCTTAACTGTAGAGATGAAGAGAGGCATCTCTGAGCCTAGTTTTCCTCACCTGCCTGTGTCCTCCCCACCCCTGCCCGGGGGGCTCTTGAGGTCCCTGCCAATGGGCCACATCAGCTCCTGTCTCTGCTCCTGATGGTTTCGCCCTCATCCAGTTCTATCCCTGGATTGGAGAGGGTGAACTGGGGGTCCTACAAAGGCAGATAATCCAAACAGGAGCATTCTTACCTCTGCCCTAAAAGATAAGCTCCTAAACTCTGTCCCAGGTTCTGGAGGGAGGCCTTGCTGGCGGAATTTAAATCGGAGTGGGGGGGCACCCCGTGTAACAGCGGTATGCAGTGCCCTGCAAATGCCCTCACTCCGCACTAGTCCTGTGCTGTCTGCCCAGTTCCTAGAGCCACTTGGGGTCTTAAGCCTCCACGGTGGGTGAGCTACAGGGAATGCTTCAGCCTGTCTCTGCTGGCTAAACATTGAAACTCAGAAAAGAAAATGTCCTCCCAGTAGTACAGGCCATCTGTCATACAGAGCACAGAGGGAATGGGGTCCTGTTTCTGAAAAAGGAACTCAGCTGAGATTACTACACAGACCCGCCAGGAGGTGATGGCTCAGGTACTGCCCTGCCTTTCTTTGATGAAATCAGCTCTTCTCTGTTCTTTGGCTATAGGCTGGTGTAGAAAGGATCATAGCTGGCAGAAGGAGGCATCTTACCATAGAACCAATACACAGCAACCGCTTCTGTCAGGACGACGGTGAGCACCGCAGGCCCCGTGGCGTACTCCTCCAGCAGCTTCACCACGTAGGCACCCCCCTGGAAACGAGATCATGAGCCTGGTTAGGCACCCTCTGAGGGACTGCCTTCTCTTTACAATAGGGACCAAAGAGGCTTCTTAACGCAGGAAATAATTCTGGAAAATTCCCATCTTGGACCTAATAAAGCATTCCAGAGCCTGCCTACTGGACTGGCCCCTTTCATCCCATCAGATGCCTCTTTCTGCCCTTTGGAGCTCTCTCTTCTTTTTTCCTCTCTCCACCAAGCTTTAAGAGACAAGCTCAAAAGGGCCTCTGGATCTGTTTGTCCACTTTCTTCAATTTACTAGCTGTCTACTATGTTCTCTACCCTGGAGAATCCCAGTCCCTAAAGACTGGACTTGTGACGGTCCACAGTGCCAGATGCACAGAGCACGTTGCTCATGGTTTTGCCTTCTGTCCAAACTCACAGGTCCCTCAGGTCCTACTCAAGGTTCCACCATCCTGCTGAAGCTCCAGAGCCACTGGGGTCATGGCTTGAAGATGCACATCTACAAAATCTGCCTTGAGTCAGAAGGACACAAGCCTCGGATGCCTGTGGTTACTATCTGAGGCCTGTTTTTCAGTTTTACAGTAAAACTACCATTGAAGTTTGACTTCACCACCATTGCAAGTTCTCTGGAGAAGACAAAGTGACATTACAAACACGAGATGCCAACCTCCAGCTGTTCCACATATCAGGATGGCAGAGCAATTTTCCCAAGAAAGCAGCCCTAAGGACTGGAAAGAGACTGGAAAAGCAAATCTGAGTTTTTCTCCAGATATTCTGCCAAGGCTGAAGTCTAGTTGGATCTACTGTACAGTGCTAAGAGCCCCCAGACACCATGTACAGATTCTACAAAAAGATCCCACAAGAAGCAACCTTTTTCCTCTTATCTTGGGTGACAAATTTTTAACAGCAGTGACAACCCCTCTTCCTGTGGCCCCAAAGCCAGGGCACTATGGAGATGGAAGGAAGGGAACAGCCTCTCAGAGAATTCTGTTCTGTGAGGGGAGGTTGCCTCAAAGCTGAGGGTGGTGCTACTCACAAAAGTCAGGGTGGTCAGGGAGCCAAAGAAGCAGGTAACAACCACACCGAGCACAAGCCACTCTCGGCGCTTGGACCAGAAGTGTGGAAACTCATCCAGCACAGCTGTGATCACCCCCTCCAGGCCTGCAAACTGAGAGGGATGCACAAACGGTCACACTAGGGGCTTTGGGACAAATCTGTTACCTTCTAGGCCAGGGAACAGGAAGAAGGGTGAAGACTGTCGAGTGACCGGTCAGGCTGATCATGACCAGTTCCCCCTCATCTCTGGCCCTCATTAGAAATAGAGTTCCCTGTTTCCTACTCTCGTGTAGAAGCCATCCCTAAGGACATCGAGGACAGAAAAGATAGCCCGTGGACAGGACTTCCGTATGTGAGGTCCCTTGGGGAGACTTTGCTGGCACCAGAAAGGCCAACTCAAAGCTGAGACTCGTCCCACACCTGTAAGTCCAGGACTTAGCCTCTCATGGGCTAAGTCCAGGCGCTGAGCTGAATGCAGGGCAGCAGGGCACCCAGACACAGGGTGACCCACCCGACCTTTAGGTCAAGTACAGCGTACACATGCTGAGCCCCTCGCCTCATTATTCCATCAATGACTCCCTGATGGCTAGTGCGCCTTGGGCACCGAGGATGAGGAGGGAAGGAGGGGCTGGGGGAGCTCCAGGAGGCAGCGGCTGACAGTGTCCGATGGCCGGGGTGGGGAGAGTGGGCCCAGCTGCCGCCTCCTCCCCTTCCCCCTCCTCTTCCTGTCCCCTCCCACGCCTTCCCTCTCCCCTCTTCCCATCCTCCTGCTTCCCCCCATCCTCCCTGCCTCCTTCCTCTCCCCTCTCCTCCACTCCCGCTCCCTCTCCCCCTTGCCCCCCACTCCCTGCTCTCTCTCCACCCCGTCCCCGCCCCCTCTCTCCCCTCCTCTCCTCCCCTGCCTCCTCCCTCACCCCCATCCTCCGCTCCCCACCCAGAGCCAGATTTCTCTCCCCATTCACTGACCGTGCTGTCCAAGCCTAGTGTGATTAACATCAGGAAGAAGATAATCGCGAAGAACGTGGATGCTGGCATGTTGGCTATGGCTTCTGCGTATGTGATGAAGAGGAGGCTGGGGCCTGAGAGAGAGAGGAAGGGGGGGAGCAGGTTGTCCCCGAGGCCGGCCTACAGAGATGTCTCAGAGGAAATCTCGGCCACACCAACAGTTAGAGCTCTTGTCACAAACCTTATGTAAATCAGGCACTGACATCACCAAATGCTGCCCCACACTCCACACCCTCACCTGGCCATCCCAACATCCTGGGAGGCAGGGAGGGAACAGTATCCATCCTGAAAAATGTGTCCCTCAACCAATGTGGGAAATGGAAGCAAATTCAAGATTTGCTACATAAGAGTGGGTTTCCACTATATAATAATCCAGAGCTTTTCTTCGGGGTCAGGACTGAGACCTCTAAAGTCTCAAAGCATTTAGCTTTGTCTGGTGTCTTCAGCTCCATAACAGCAGGAAATGTTAAACTGATTTCAGAAAAGTCATAGAGGCCTCAGAATAAAGACCTCCCACTATTTTAAAGTCCTTTTTGAAAATGTGAGGGACATGTCCTCAGCCTCTCATGGGCTAAACAGGGGTGCCTCAGTTTAGAATACAGAAGTGATCAGACCACTGCATCAGGTCTGGGCTTCCATCCACAAGATGCAAGCACCTCTGTTTCAACACCTGCCACTCTTTTTCCATGAAAACCTCACAGTAGAGTAGAGACTATGCCATCTACATTTTCTTTTCTGCAAGGAAAACTCTAAGGTTTAGTAATCATTTGCTTACCAAACTTGGACCCATCACCAGACCCACTGGTTTTAAAAACCATCGTCCAAGTCATATTTCCAAGCCCATAGTATAGTCAAGTCTCGGAAATGGGCTCCAGGGGAGCTGCCTCATCCCCAGCATGGCCTAAACACATGGAAAGGGCTGAGATCTCCAAGGCAGTAAGTTTCTCTAAAACCTCTAAAAACATTTAGAAATGATGCAGAAGTTAGATGTTTGTAAAGACCCAAAGAGCAGCAAAGCGATCCAGTGCGAGCAGGGGACCTAAGCAGGGCCCACAGTCCTACCTGCGTCCCTGGCCACCTCAGATACATCTTCGTTCCTCATCTCAGCCATGTACCCCAGTACCGTGAAGATGACAAATCCTGACACAAAGCTCGTCAAGCAGTTCACCGCACTGGTCACCAGGGCGTCTCTGCAGCGGAAAACCCAGGGGGCTGAGGCATTTCCAAGAGGGAGGCTAAGAGGCGTCTGCAGCTGCAGCCAGGGCGAGCCTCCGGGCTCTTCAGGGCTGTCCTGGTTCCCCTCCCAGCACCCGGCTTCTCTGACTAGTTGGATGATCGGCCTTGAGGTACAAGCCGCCATGACCACAGTGCATGGCATGGGGAGAACATCAGGTCAGGAGGGATCTTAAGCGATGGTCCTCTTGTGAACCAGCACAGCTCGAACCTCTTGATTTCAAACAAGGCTTGCTCTGAAGCAGGCCCTGGGTTGCAGCGGGCCAGAGGGGGCCGTGGCCTCCCATCTGCAAAGTCCTCAGTTTGAGATTTTTGACATTATGTGCAAATGAGGTTACAAACTACCACACAGACATCCTGACACTTGTAAAAGACCTCATCATACAACTCCAGGCTGGTGTCCCAGTGCAAGTCACATTGCTTAGGGTGTATGTGAATTCCTTTTTTTAAAAAAGTGAACTTTATAATTATCTGATAATACCAGATTGAAGATGTGTGATATTTAAATCATAATTGTTGCAACACTCCCTGTTTAATCAAAATTTCTGAAATAAGATGTTGCCACAAAAATTACAGCATTTTGTGTTGGCCAAAGTAGTTCAATCATTATGCTCTTAGTGTGTATATTCACAAACAAATTATCATATCAAAATTTTTGTTGCTAGACATGTTAACAAGTTAAATCTAAACATTTAATGTATGTTGTAATTTTTGTGAACCTTCTTTGGAAATTATTTATTTATTTTTTGCATAAAGAGACTCTCACAAAATGGAAAGCGGCCTGGTCTTGCCTCTCTTAACCCCTGAGTGGTCTGGATGGTTGCTCTGGCCATAGGTGCTTTGTAGCACCCCTAAGGGTTAGAATGTCAACATGTCTGAGCTTTAACACCTTCTTCCAGACCAGCTGACTTATGCTGACCCCACTTTCAACTTTGCTTGGGGACCCCAGATACTCACTGGTAACAGTTGTTGTTGAATTTATTGTAGCTAGCAAAAGCCAGTAGGACCCCAAAGCCAGGACCAAGAGAGAAGAAGATCTGTGCAGCAGCATCCACCCACACCTGGGACACAGCAGAGGTAAGGGTGAGGGCGGAGCCCGGGCCAACGCTGCACACCGGCCCAGCCGGAGCCCCCATGCCTCCCCAGGGCTGTGTGCAGGGAAGAAACACGGGCTCTCAAGGCGATTCCAGTGAAAGCCCCACACCAAGTGCAAACGCATGTGACTTCCCTTCCTGTCATTTAGGCTGAAACCACGGCACTGGCCTCAGCTGGACTCTTCATGCTTGTTTAAAGTGTCACTGCGGGCTTGCCACTGAACCCAAACTTCCATTGTCCCTACTGTCCTGTTCGAGGACTAGGTTCAGTTAGTAAAATGACAGACAGATGCACACCGTTTTCATTATCTTACCCCTGTCTCCAGAAGTTTCTGCCAGTTGGGTTTTAAGTAGAAGAGAACACCCCTCCAGGCTCCAGGAAGGGTGGCTCCCCTCACCAGCAGGACCGCAAGGATGATGTAAGGGAAAGTGGCTGTCACCCACACCACCTGTAAGGAAGTGAGGTGGAAACACAGGATATCATCATGTGGGTGTTGGGGTCTTTTATTCTTGAAAATCTCCAAAAATGATCTTTTTTCTCTGTAATTTTAGGAGGCTGGGTTGTGTGGCAGAATGATCACAGCCTTTAGGACCAGACAAGCATCTGATTCACACCTTGCCAGTACTCACTACCTCTAAACCCACTCCCCATCTGCAGAGTGGGGGAAATAAGAGACAATAAAGTTGCCAGGCTATACAAAGCACTGAACATGGTCCAGGATGGGTTTTCAATAAATTGTTGCCACTATCATTAATTGTGACACTACCAGTGGGTTAAAAGAATTTTTTTTAAATCATATAATGGTTCTTAGGATTGGCCTGTTTCTAGAATTTTCTAACAAATTTGGTGAAGTGAGACTGAGCATCATGGAATGTGTTTGGTGTAGAAAGAAACAATGTCCCCCTGTCTGTGGCTGTCCAGCTACTAAGTTCTGAGTTTGAGATGCTCTGGGGCCTCCTGGCAGCCAGAGTCCCCATCACCTTGCCAGATGTTTTGACGCCTTTCCAGATGCTAAAGTAGATAACAGTGAAGATGAGCATGATGCAGAGGGCAAGCTGCCAGCTGATGCCCCCCAGATCCTGGAGTCCCTTGGACCGGTGGATCTGCAGGACGTGGCGCCTGGAACCAGAGAGAAAGAAAGGCCTGTGAGATGGTCTGACCGGTGAGCTGATGTGCTCTCTGATACCTCCAGGAGGTGCTACAAGCAAAAATGGACACTTGCACTGCAAGGACCAGGGGGTCACTGAGCCTTGGGAAGAGCTGGCATTGGCTCTGCCCTCCTGAAAAAGAGTGTCACATTCAGCCACCGGCCCTGGGAGAGGGCCCAGCCCAGAGGCAGATGTCCAGGTCTCTCCTCTCCTGGCTGGGATCCGACCAACCAGGCAGCATGGCCAGTATGACCGGCTTTGGGTACAAGAGGATTTGTATGTTGGGTACAGGGCTTCTTCTCTGGGCTACCACTGCCTGAAATTCCAGTGTTAAGTACCTACCTACTCCAGGCACCTTCTTCCAAAGGGTAGATTCCACCATGAAGTGAACACACAGAACCAAAAACTATTTGCATAGTTTCAAATGACTGAAGGGGTAAGGAGGCTTTGTTTCCATGACAGCTGGCCAAGAGGCAACCCAGGAGGAAGTGCGGTTGACAGGGGGTAACTCTGGAAAGTGAAGGCAGGGATTGGCCTGGGCACCTGGGGCAGCCTGGCATGGCATGTCGGAAAGGAGGGGGACAGCCCAGAGGGCCAGATCACGGAGCACTCGGTGGCGTCCCCAACTCCAAATCCGGCCCTGCCACTCCCTCCCTCACATTTCCCACCCTGTCCTGGTAGCTCATCCCTCAGAACCCCATCAGGGAGGAAGAAAAGCCCCTGGCCCCCAGTCCCTCCTCAGAGGCTGAGCTCAGGCGTGTGGCCAGCCCCTAACAGACCACCCCCTCACTTACATGCACTTACGTGTAAAATTCTTCTGCGGGAGACGTGGAGTGGAGCGTCCAGCTGACATTGTCCTCGGAGAAGTAGTTGGTGCAGTTGCCTGTGTTCCATGTGTTCCTGCAGGTGGTCCAGGGCAGCTGGCCCGTGAAGGAGGAGATGAGGTAGTAGAGTGCCCAGGCCATGATGGTGTTGTAGTAGGAGGCGATGTAGAAGGCGATGACGCAGATGGCAAACCCGATCCCTGGCGGGGAGGGCGAGCGAGGCCAAGCTTAGAGCCCAACAGGGAGAGACGAGCGCCAGGGCGCTGCAGCCGGGCAAGGCTCTGCCATTCCCGAGGACTCCGGAAGGCGCCGGAGAAGTGGCAATGTGGTGAATTCCTTATATGGATTTATTTGCTAGCCTGCGTGTTTTAGAAAATGTGTGTGTGCTGCTAATGCTTCAACATTTTTCTATTTATTTCTTAACTTTTAACTGCTGTTTATTCTGTTTTCCTTTTACAATCTCATATCACATGAGCAGTCAAACAACTACTGACGCCCTCTTCCAGGGATGCCTAAGGCCTGACTCCAGGAGACTGTCGCTAGCTCCCGCCCACTGATGGAGACCACCACCTCCTCGGAGGACCCACTCACCCCCGCCCACCCAAGCCTTTTAGCTACCTTTGAAGATTGGGCAGATTTTCCTCCATATGGAGATGCATCCATTCCGGTGGTACTGGCCCAGCGCGAGCTCCATGTAGAAGAGCGGGATGCCTCCAAAGACGGCCATGATGGTGTAGGGCAGCAGGAATGCCCCTAAGGCAGATGAAAGACGTGTCACTCCCTGCCCACAGCCCCCAGACAGCCCAGGGAATCAGGACGGCAGGGGTCACCTGAGCGTCAGGAAGCCACCTGTGCTGAGCGGCCTCCCACGGTGCTCCCCTGGGCTCAGTGTTCTGCCAGAAGTAGCAGTAGGCGGAATGGAGCCGAGACTCAATGAAGGAGGCAGGGAGTAAATGGAAAGAAAGGGGCTAGGGGAGTCAGCAGAGCAGTCACAGGGACCAGTTCCACTTCTGACTGCCTGGACGACCCTGTGCTACTTCTCTCTGAACCTCCACTTCCTCTCCTATAAAATGACAGGGCTGAGGGCTGAGGTTCCCAAACCCAGCCATGTATCATAATCAGTGGTGAGCTGAAAAACACCCGAACACCCCCTGAAGCAGAAGCTCTGGATGTGGGTATGACACAAGTTTTCGTGCTCCTCGGGTGCTTCTGATGCAACCAGCACATGGACTAGAGTTTGAGACCCTTGGACATGTCCCCTGTGACACCCGGTACAACAGTTGCAATAATCCAACTGAATTAGTAGCTTTGCTCATCCATATAATCTGCAGCTCCAGCACTGGATTATTGGTAGTTGGTTGTATTTCCATAATTCCATGGAGTCAGAAAAGCTCCTTCCTGGGCCACCTGTGCAAATGTGGCTGCAAAGGGTAGTTTCTCACAGAATGAGAAGGCAGGGAGCTGCTGTGTCAGTGGAGACACTGGTGTCTCTGGGCTCTCATGGCTGCGGCAGAATTTGGGAACACCAAGTTTGGGGGCTGCTCACCTGCAGCCTGAGGTTTAGGCCACAGGGTGGGTCATCTATGATTTTCCCTGATAACTTTCCCTCCCATAAAGTGCCTTGAACCTAGAAACCTGAAGGCATTGAAACTCAAAAAAGTCCCACCTAATTTACAATCTGGCTTGAGAATAAGAACCACACTGTGTTCTCATGGTGGCATTTGTCCAAAGGGTTTGCTTGATTGGCTTTACAGTAGCCAATGAGTGTAAGGGACATATCACCTGTGACCCAGCCCCTCATATAAGGCTCAGGCCAAAGGTGCGCCTCCCAAGCTGGAGATAAGATGATTCCAACTTCTGCACCTCCCAGCCAGGGAGCACCTGGCTTCCTGGAAATGCCTTTGCAGCTCCATGGACCATGGTGCTTAAAAGATGTAGCAAATTCAGGCAAATCTGTGTCAGGCCATGGAGCAGACACAAATGAATTAAGCTCCAAACCTCATATTAGCTGCCTTCCCAAATCTGTTGCCAGAACTCCTGTCAAAATGTGGACTGATTTGGACTCCCATTTCTCATCCTTTCCCTATTCAGATGACAAGTCCAGTGTCATCCCAGAGGCCCCATACCTCCTCACTCCTCTCTCCTCCTCTACTTTCTGGGGCTCCCATATTCAGGCCTGCAGTCAGCTACTATTTTTGATAATCTACAAGTTAACTGCTCTGGAAGCGTTAGGGGTAGAAGGAGAAACAAGAATTAGTCTCTGGCTTTAAAAATCTTAACACTCTTATAGGAGATATAAGGTATATCCATGTATGGTCTGGGATTGCATTAACAGCATGCTGTGACTAGGTTCAGCTCTGTATCATGCCCAGATTGTAATTTAAGACTCTGGACCTGAGCTGACACCCTTCTCTGACCTCACACAGGTGCAGAGGCCCAGAAGGGCCTGGGACCCTGGAGCCACTTGCCAACTTTTCCTTATGCAGATCTAACATGTCAGGACTCCCGAGCAGAGGTGCCCGCAGGAGTGAAGTCACTCAGCACCACGCTGCTGCCTCCCCCATCCTCATTCTGTTTGGTGGAGAGCAGAGCTTGGCTAATGCCGGGGTGCGAAGGGACTCTTCCACAAATGAAGCACTAGTGATGCTGAGAATCTGGTGAGGCGCGGTTTGGGGAAGCTTTCGTGCAATTTCATAACCTAGAAAGCCTACAAGATCCTGACTTCAAGTTTTGGCTTAGTGGAGATCTGTCTTCTAGACTAGCTTCAAAGTCTAAGCAATCATCTCAGACTCATATCAGTTACACAAGACAGAAAAGACATGATTTATCCTCTGGCCTCCCAAGAGGATGTACAAACCACCCCCACTTGTGGCCCATGATACTGACCCCCTCCATTCTGGTAACATATGTAGGGAAAGCGCCAGACGTTGCCCAGGTCCACAGCATAGCCAATGACAGAGAGGAGGAAATCCACCTTCTTGCCCCAGGTCTCCCGTTCCCCTTGATGAACCTCAGCCACTAGGGTAGTGGTGGCCGCTGGGATGGAGCGCTGAGTGTCATCTCCTGCACCAGGGCTCGGGACTGCTGAGTACCCATTGGAGATTTGGCTGGACCCTGCCTTATCCCCAGGGGCAGGGACACGCTTCTGCAGAATGCCGTTTTCCTGACAATCTTCTCCATCCTTACATGCTGACAGCCCCTTCTGGGAATTTAAGGGTGTGGTCTCCATCCTGCCGTCTAGTAGAATGTACTGATGCCCCTCTGCCAAGGACCTGAACTGGGTCCTTGGTGTTCAGGTCTTTGGATGTCCTCCGAGCTTTATATCAATGGGATTGAGAGCTCTGTTGGAAAGGGACACAGAGAAAACAGAACAGAAGTGGCATTTTACTTGTTTTTGGTATTAACTCATCATACCTCTTAAACTACACTCGTTAGTGGAATTACAAAGGCATCCGTTAAATGTGAGACATTCTGCTATATAAGCGTCAATAAAACCAACGGTGTTTTTCAACCTATACAATGCATCAGATAATAATTAATTTGAAAAGGAAAAAACAAAATGACAAAACAAAAATAGCAGATCGCCAAGGTCTTACACAGGCTCTACTTCACAAAACATTGACCTCACTCGGAGAGCTGGAATCTCACCCTGGAGTTTACCAGTAACTCAGTAGAGGGCTCACTTCCACAAAGCTTCACAGAGCACTTACTTTGTCCTGGATACTGTGCTGCAAACAGAATCCCAAATGAAGCAGCAGATAAATGCCTGCGGCTAGATGAGGACGGTCCTCTCCATCACTTAGGCTGAACTCACAGTATATTTCATATAAACTATAAATATGGCTTAAAAAGGAAAAAGAGCACAGGAGGCGGGAGCAAAGACCACCCTTGGTGAGGCGCCCCTAGCTCCTCAGCTGCAGACCCTTCCCGTCTCTCTGTAGTCTAGCGCTTAGAGACCTCTGGGCAGATGCTGGCTGCTGCTGGCTCCCCTTTCTACTCCCCGTGATGTCTCTGCAAGTCTGATGGCCTTAAACGGCACTGCCACTCCCAAGCAACCCCCAAGGCTAATCGGCTTGTTATCCTGAACAGTGGGCAGGCGGGGTCACTTCCAGTCCTCACCGGGAGAGCTGGGGAGAGGAGCACGGAGGTTCCAGGGGCTGGCGTGGCTGGTGTCTCTGTCCCTGCACAGGCCGGAGGGGCGCTGGGCCAGAGCCACCATGCCTTCGCATCACTGCTGTGGGCCGGGCTGCAGCGAAGGCAGCTAAGCTCTGGACATGGAGGTCTGAGACATCAAACATGGGGTAGAAATCTGAGCTTCCTGGACTTTAAACCCATGGACTGTTGTAAACCAGTAAGAAGCCAAGGCCTTTTAGCTATCTTCATTTCTTCTGGGCCTGAACCCTTGAAACAATGTGGGAGTTGAAACATGTTTCTGCTTGGCTCAGATCACTTCATACCTTTCCAGAAATAAATGTCCAGGGATGACTGCAAAGATCTGAGACAGTCAGAGGATGGCTGAGAATTGGTAGCTCATAAAAATGACAGTGTATGTCTCCCACCCATTTGGGGTTTTCAATGACTACAGCTTAACTATCCACATGTGGAAATGTGAAGACAAAAATGTAGTGAGTAAAAAATTAGAACACAAATAGATTCACACTGATGACTATGCACATAAATATTGGCAAAGATTAGAAATGAAAACACCAGGGATGCAAATAATAAGTTTTGTGTTCACTGACTTCTTTTTTTCTATAAAAGTAGAAAACAAAGATTTAAAAGAGATTGACTATTGCCAGAAATATCACCAAAACAAGAGAGGAATCAGCTCTATAGAGCTGTGTGTGTGTGTGTGTGTAAGGGGATGAGGAGGAGGTGCTCTGGGTTCTATCCTATCTACCTATTTGGTACCCCCACTCCTACCCTGGGCTCAAGGATTCAAATACTTCTCATAGAAGAATACGAATTTCTGACAGAGAAGGGTCTACATCGAACCCCAATCTTCTCATCTTCGCACTGCAGTCCAGCCTCCCCCTGCTCCTCCCTTCCCTGGGACCTCAACTGGACTTGATGGACTTTTAAAATAGCCACATATCCTCTCATCCACCATAAGTAACCACTTAGCAGGCTAAGGGGTTTTTTTTTTTAAGTTTTTTTTTTTCAAGAGATGATGGGATGTCAATGTGCTTAAATACACAGCTAAATTAAACCTGAACTTGGCAGTGTCTACTCGTGTTGTTTGAAGAAACTCCTCTTCTGTGCTTCTCTCCAGCCTCTATAATGACATGTTTTCCACAGTAAACACTGGAGAGCTTGAAGACCAGGTGGCAGAGATACAGTGTCACCACACGTGGCCGTACGGCACTCGGCTGGCAGAGCCAGCCCATGACCAGGGGCACCCCCTTCCCTGATCTTTCTCCATCTTCAAAATCAAATGAAATTAAATGTAGGAAATTTCTGTAGGAACTTCTATCTTTCATACCAAAACTTTCCTCTCTCTTAAACAGAAGCTCAGAGATCAGTTGCATCACCCAGCTGTTCTCTGGCTGGCTCACCACGGTCTGCGGGGGGAGTGTCATCCTCTGAGGAATACACTGGGGCAGGGATAAACCTTTGCCATGCTAGTGGCCCCATCACCTTCCTGCTGCAGACGCCCCATGATTTCTCTGCACTTCATTTACTTTCTCCTTTCGGGCATTCTGCAGGGCAGCTGCAAAACATGGTGGCGAACCTTAGGGGCAATGTGTGTCCTTCCAGACCTCAGCACGAGCAGCTCCTAGAAGAATAATACACTATTCTCTGCTTTTGTTCTGAGCATTACAAAGATCTTGTTTCCTAAGATACCCCCAGCAATTAAGAAAAAAATTTATCAAGAAGCTGAAATGGCCCAAGTCATAAGAAACCATAAGAGCATCTCTCAGCCAACTCATGACTTCAGGTCGCATCTCCCCAGGGGCTGGGCTCTCCCCACCCAGCTCTGCTCTCTTGGGTTCTCCTATAGTGCTCCCACCCCGATCACAGACTTAGGGGTGCGAAGAGATAAATTACAGCCACTGGAAGCCACCAAACAGGCAGGATACACACATCTCCTTTAGTTCAACTCCCTCCTCTGCCTCTTCCAATTAGAAGCAGACTCTTCCCAGTTACTACTGGATCAGCCTGGCCTGGGCCCCTTCTGCCTATAGGATGCTGCCTGTGGCTCCTGGACTCCTTTCCCACTTTTTTGATTCTACAGAGCACTGACCAGCTTTTCCTCACAGACCAGCAGATAATGGCTGAGAGCAGGCTGGCCCAGGAATATAGAAATAAGAGTGGTTGCAAAGGTTGGTTTCTGAAAATGCTCTCTGGAAAGCTTTCTTTTATAAAAGGTATTTTTATCCTGCTGAGTAGAAAGATTGCAAACGAGGTCATATTATAGCTGTGACCTCCTCCAAGCATGCTTTGAGTTTCTCCATGGCCAGAAAAAGCTCCAGAAGCCTTCCTTTGCACCTTGAGTGTGTGCAGCTGTCCTAGGCTGGGCAGGTGACAGGCTGTGGGTGGTGCCATGTGACCAAGCCCCTCGGTGGGACCACACACTGGCACACAGCAGCCTCATCCCCCTTGTCTCTACAAACGAGCGGTAGCAGAGTGGTACAGGTGACAGGGTTGAGTCCACTTTCTGTTTACACTCCTGCTTCCTCTCGGCCCCAGGGGTGGGCTAGTTCACTCCACCTCCCCGCTAGCAAAAGGGGTTGCTTCTATTTAAACTTCTCCTGATCAAATCTCCATTCCTCTTTAAACAAACTCTGCCTCTGTAGCCAGGGGAACCAGTATTTGAACAGGCATGTAATTATAGTGATTAGTCATGAAACCGCCCAGGCCTTTGGAAATGCCCATGACCCTCCTTGTCTGTTTGACACCCATCAGCACATTCTATGCAGAAATGCTATAGAAATTTTGAACTTTGACTTCACATATCGACATCTAAGTGAGTTCATTTCTCAGGACACTCAATTTTCATTTTCAAAAACAAAACAAAAGCCAGCATGAATGTGTTTACCACTGAGATAAGATTAATTATAGATCATATAGCCAAATGGCAATTTGCATTCTTATTCAGAGAGGAAGTCTGAAGTTGCCAAGACACCTACCCAGGATGAGAGGGGCTGCGGGCTCAGGTACCTCCTGGCACAGCAAACACTGAGCCTGGCCCTCTGCTACAGGGCAGCACTGATTCAGCAAAGGTGCGTATTCCTACTATGTGCAAGGCTCTTGGAGACAAGGCAGGCACAGTCCTGCCTTTATGGGAATTCATGGGACAAGGCCAAAACCTGACTGGGGAGAAACAACAGTGCATGTACTTAAGGAGGGCCAGGCTGGTGCTGCTTCTAGGAGCCGCTGCACGTCCTGTGGTCAACAGATTTCTGCTGACTTGACGCCGCCCATTTAGACCCCTCACATTGCTAGCTCCAAAGCTGCCCTTGGGTTTTAATAGTCTTCCTTTTGCTGCTAGTACACAGTACACAGGACGCTGGCCTTTAGTCTGCTCTGGCTCACAGTCTCTCCAGTATAAGATGGCAGTTCATATCTGTCTTTGCTGAAGGGACTGCTGAGGTCTCTGATGTGTGCAGTGTCACAGGTCACAAGCCACAGAGACTCCTGGCTCACCTTGCAAACAAAATAGAGAGACTTTGTGATATGAATGGAGGAAGTAGAGAAAAATTGGCTCTTTTTTTTTTGACATAAGGGATGGAAATGAACTCTCCTGTCAGAGCCATCTTCTTATCCAAAAATTCCTTGTATGAGACAGTTTAATTTTTGTGGAGGAATTAGATAGGCTAAAATCATCAGGGCCATTTGGGCCAATTACCACGAGAAAGGAAAAGGGTCTCTTGTCCTGAACTTCCCTGAGTGAAAGAGGATAGCTTTGAGCTTCTCTCCACACACAGTGTAAATCTAGAGGATTAGCCTTTTGTGGTGGAGTGGAGATCACTCCATAGGATGCACAAAAATACAATGGATTACTTATTCTGACTTTAATAAAAAGAATGGATTTGGCATGGATGGGCATAAAGAACTCTCCTCGAGTGAGCACGAGCTTCGGAGCCTAGACTAATCACCTTCCTGGGGCCTCCTTTACTAGTTCTTGCGTGTCTATGACACACGGCTCTCCTGTCTCACAGGTCTGCACTGGAATCCCAGCTCCACGGCCAACTGGCCCTGTGGCTTTGGGCAGGTCACTTAACCTCTCTGAGCTTCCATTTCCTCACATGCAAAATCAGACTATTAAAATAGGAATTTTAACAGCATAAGGCTGTTGTGGGAATTAAGGTATGACAAATGCTTAACTCAGTATCTAGAC